GATGAAACCTGTAGTAAACAATCCTGAGGATTTTTCTTTTATAATCTAGACCCTCCCTGAAAATGTTGTGTCTTTACTGAAGAAATGCCTTACATTTCAACCTTCCAAGAGGTAAGTGTCTAATCCCAATTTACAGTATGGGGTCCACAGCAGTTAAAATATATGCTGCTAAACTACATTCAGATATTGTCTTTTAAATAAGTTGCATCAAAGTGCATCTCTGGAAATCTATATAGTAATGCATCAGTGGAGTTGCTTGATCAAATTCCTTTTTGTTGCTTTGCCATTTAAAAAAAATATGAATAAAAGTGAAAGTGTCAGATTAAACTAGAATTCTAGCAAATACTCTAATAGTTTTTCCAAATATAAGTATATTTGGAAAAACTGTTTTCGCAGCCATGACTACTAAACAGAATAGCATAATAATGATCATCTAAAAGATCACATAAAAGTGCATATAATGGCTTGCATTATTTGTTTCCGTTCAAATGCTTTGAAAGAACATTTTGAGTAGCATTGCAAGCTTGAAATATAATGGTCAATCAAGAGTTGAGGCTAAAATCACTGGGCAGGAATAACAGGGCTCAAAGCAAAGGAAAAGTGAACTTCATTGACATTAACAAAGAAATTTTGGGACTCCTGTTTTTGTTTTTAGAAAGTAAGGTCTCTTTTTTAACTGAAGTCTGGTCTTTCATCAGTGACTACTTATGCTGATTTATAGCACTTCCTGTATTTAGAATATGTTCTTGTAAACTGTTTTTTCTAATGTCATGTCAATATACCTTTTTCAAGAAACTGCAGTACAGTATAGAGCCACATTGTAGTCAGAGATGAAAAAAAAAGTTTGTTTTCAGGAGCAGAAAGATCTTTTTAATGGCCAAAACCTGCTAGACTACCTTATAAATTAACAAAGCAAAAATTGTCCAGTAAAGACAGATTCCAAACTTGGGTTGAGTATAAGAATGACCATGTGTAGGCAAGCTATAAGGTATTGACTGTCATAATGAAGGCAAATGAAATGTTTATCATAAAACTTTACATTTTTATTAAATAAATAACACCTATTTGTCAGTGAGAGTATTAACATGCATTTTTTAAAGGATTTCACTTTTTTTCTCTCTTTCTGGTCATTCTTGAACTTTTTAAAACACTTGCACAAGACCTACTCCTGATGAATTGCTGTGTGACAGTATATTCAGTGAAGTGTCCTCTTCGTATGAACCCTTCCATAAAGCTGCCAGTCTGTTTTCATCCTCTTTGAGATGTGCTAATCTAACACTTCCTGAGGACATCAGTCAGCTGTGTAAAGGTAAAAGTGGGCCATGAGAGAGGGTGGTGGCAGGAAGAGAAGAAAAATAAATATGTACCTGTTGTTTATATGGGATAGGATTTGGAGTAAGTGACTGTTTTGTTTCTTGGGAAAAAAATACTAACAAAGCCTCCATTCCTGTATTGAGGTACTGTTGTCTGTTAGGGGTCAGTGAAGGATATTATCAGTTTATGCACTGTGAGGACATGGATAGAGGCAGGTCTCCGTGTTCTTTATTTTTTCTGTACTTGTTCATCATCATATCTGATAACCACCCACAAATGGTTTGTGAATGGCTTTTGAGATTTTTTTTTAATTTGAGGACTGGTACCTTTTACCTTCATCACACAATGTAGCGACTTGGGGACAGGGTTCTCCTTGGGCACATCCTGTGATATGGGCTGTAGTTTTGTTAG